TTGCCTCCAGAAGTTATGAATGCCCCAACACTGGAAGTCTTTAAGAAAATGTTGGATAGCCATTTGTCTGAAATTCTATAGGGTTTCCTGCCTAGACAGGGGGTTGGACTAGAAGACCCCCCAAGGTCCCTTCCAACTCTGCTATTGTATTGTATAAAGCTGAAAAGTAGGGGAAGCAGGGAAATAAATCATTGTGAAAAAAGCTTTCAGCCCATCAGTTGTCATAGCCTTACTGTAAAAGCCACAAAAAATTAGCTTTAACATAAATTAAAAACAACTCAATCTGAATGTTTTTACTAATTGAAGAAAATAACTTTTCTTCAATTAATTATAGTAAATATTTTTTTTAAAATTTCTTAAAAATTAATATTCAAATATTTCTAAACCAATTAATTGAATGACTTTATTATGGAATGATCAACCTTCATGGTGTGTTTGGCTTTCTTTATAATGTTTTGTTAAAAAAACAAAAGTGTTGCTGTATGATTAAAATTCTTCAATTTAAAGCTTTGATATAATTCAGTTTATCACACTTTTATGCTAGTACAACTTTTTTTTCTTTTATGCATTTGCACTTGGAAAAATATTGCTTGAATATTTTAATTATGTATGTATGTTACAGGAAACAAAAGAGAAGAATTACAAGTAATTTGGTAGATGGACTGTTACAATGTGATGAGTGCAGTGTTGGAATACTTGAAGGATCAGGTTAAGAGATGATACTGACTTGACAGCATATAATCAATTAATTAATGTGTGCTACGAATTTTCAGTTAGGAAGGTTAAAATAAACAGTACAAATCATTGTATGTTCGATGCTGTCAGTCTGATGAAAAAACACATTTTTTTCTACCCATTTTCCTTTGGAAAAAAGTCAAAGTCAGTATCAAATAACTTACCTATCAACAAGCTTTTTAGCAAAGCCAAAGTCTGTGAGTTTGATATGCCCCTCTTTGTCTAATAAAATATTTTCTGGTTTTAAGTCTCTGTAAACAATTTCTTTTGAATGGAGGTATTCTATTGCACAAATTATCTCTGCAGAGTAAAATAGTCCAGTGCTGTTATTAAAGCGTCCCATATTACGTAGATAGCTAAAAAGTTCACCTCCAGGTACATATTCCATCAACATATATAGAAATCGATCATCGTGATTAGTCCAATATCTGTAATAATAAAAGCAGATTCAGTTTTTAAAAATTCAATATATTAGTAAAATGACAACAATTATTTATAGACCTGAAATGGACACTTAAAATTTATAGGATTCAATTTAAACTGCATAATTTCAATTAAGATCTAATATTGCTGAGGCTTAGAAATCTTAAAATACTTTTTTTTATTCCAGGGCCTCCAATAAAACCGCTGGGTTTACTCATAACATGACTAAATATTGACAGAAACATTCCAGCTTGGTCTTGAAAAGGAGTTCCACACACTTACAGGCAAATGAGCAAAGAAGTCTGAAGCCAAGTAGAGAAACATAATCACTGCAATTTTTAAAGATTAATTTACAAAGATAGATGCTTAATTCACTGAGTCTCTGTGATTGTGCATCAAGGTTGAAGTACAATTACCAGAGAACAAAACAAAAGAATTAAATGAAATACAAAGTTGCTGAGTGGGTCAAAACCTGCTATAAATGACACAGTTCCCAAGCTGAGAACATATATGAACTGAAATTCATTGATTTCTCCACATGTATTAAAATTTAATATGCATTTCCTGTGTGGAATTCTCTGTACACTTATAGTGTTGCTTAAAAGTTTGTGAATCCTCTGAATGTTCAATATTGCTGCATAAATTTGACCTAAAATGTGATCTGTTCTCCACACAAGTCGTAAGACTAGATAAAGAGAACCCAGTTAATCACATTAGTAAAAATATACTTTACAAACATTTAAATATATGAAGCTCTGAATAAGAACTTCAGCTGAATGGGGGGAAAAACCCTGAAGTTCAGTTTCACAAGGTATAGTAAAAAATAATTATAAGGATCAGTGTCCAATTCTTACATTGAGGACAGAGCCATTACAGTAAAATGCTATTACTTGCTAAATAATCTTAGTAGGAATGTAATACCATATATTCTGCTAGGAAAGCAAGTTATCCATACAATAATGCTACCAAGCTCAAACCCATTGGTCATAATTTGCATATCCAATTTATTTTATCTTTGTCATGTGTTTTTAGGAATTGGTTATGTTTTAAATTTTTGCTTCTGATTTTTTGTATTATTTTTGCTTTTATTTTTGATGCAGGATTTCCCAATTCCACATATGCAACTGAACAATTAAAAATGAAATGTTCTGGCAAGAAAATAAAGCTCATTCTCTGCAATGAATAGTTGTTCAGAATATTCTATACCATTTTGAGATTTGGGGTTTGGCTAAATTTAAATATCTTCCATAGTTGTTGTTCATACAAAGCTGTCCTTCCTTGGGTAGATCCCACTGTATATTTATTAAACAAGGAAAACAACAACAACAGAGGACATTTGCAGCTCTTTTTGCTATCATTTCCTTTTGTTTCCATCTTTAAAATATTACCTATTTCAGAAAATGTTTAAGGCAAAAAAATAAGGTTAATTTTGCCTAAAGATATGGACAAACAATAGACAAGAGTAGTAGCTCCATATGTTTTAGAAATTTGTAGATCCAAGCATTGGATCAACAGAGTTAGTCATCATAGATGACAAGATCCAAATGGCCACAGCTTGCCAGATCCTGCATTAGCATAAAACTACTGTTGGAAATAGCCCAATAAATTTATTATCCCAATGTACTTCTATTTCTTCTCTTCACTTCACTCATTTAACAATGAATTAATACTTGAATAATTTGAAAAAAAAATGGTTGAGGAGGACTCAGAAATATATCAGTAGCCTGTACAAAAATTAATTCTGCCATCAATTTTACATGTTTATTTCTCAGAGTAAAATTACTGGTAGGCAAGAAATGCATTTTCAACTGAGCTTACTTTGTTCTCTTTGTCAGTTTCATCTTATCAGGATATAATCTTGTTATGTTGAAATTACTTTTGCAATATGTACTTATAACTCCTCTGTTTATAGTTTAACTTGTGAAATTCTGATATTTCCGGTAGTAGGCATTACTCCACCCATTACCACAAGATATTTTTAAAAAAGTAATGAGCCATATACAGAAACAGATTTCCTGTAGTTTCAAACAGAGGGAATTGTATTTTGTGCACTGTTAACACAATGCATTTATCAGCAAATACTTCATTAGAACACTGAATTTCCCCTCATGCTTAAAAGTATCTCTAAATTATTTACTTCTAATGAAGACATGCACCAACTCTTACACAAAATTACTATATTTGTGAAAACACATTCAAAATGGATGTAATTTTACTTACTGAAAGTATGAACTTTCATTCATGTACTCATTTCTTATCTACAAAAGGAATAACTACTGTTAACTGTCACAAAAGTCTACCGGAAATAAATCATTCTTGGTTTCCATTAAAAAAGTATACAAGTGGAATTATCCTGTGGACATTCTTCTTGTAAACAAGGAGAAAGTGGTATTTACAGATTCTACTTTTATTCTACAGTACCCATTAAACCACTTCAGATGTTTTCAGAATTCTTAAAAATCTTTCAGAGCTAAAACTGAAGACAGAGACACCTTCTTCACCTTTCAGGCAGGAAAACCTTTGAGCCTCTTCTAGGAATAAAACTATCAAGATTTTGCCATGATAAAATTATGTCAAAAAGCAAGCTGGATGCAGAAAGAAGATATTTTCAGAAACATACTGTATATATGCATATGTATATGCATTCATATGCACACATATTTATCCATGAAAAATGCTTAAATATATACATTATACACAACTATAACAATTAATGTACTCTGAAGGACAGTCAATCTATCCTGAGCAATGCTGTAAAAATCACATATCACACCTTTTTGGAAAAGCAAACAGAGACAAAGTATTTATAATGTACATATTTCATTTTTCTTATTCAATAGGCTTCCTAGTTAAGGAAGGAATATGGAAATAAAAATTTAAAAATTTGTCACCCAAAGATTTTTGACTGCTACAACTGATTGTGATTGAACTAAGAAGATGAAGCTTACAATCTGATTAGAAATGGATGATTCACTTCTTTCAAAACAGATTTTTCATTGTGTACATGTTGTTCTTGTTTTAGCCGAATAACATCTGGAATGCTCATTACTTTCAATGCGAAATAGCATTTAGCAGCCTTCTCTCTCACCAGGTGAACCCGCCCAAAAGTGCCTGTCCCTGAAAATCAGAAAGAAAAAAAAGAGCCAGTGAGATGAATAGATAAATAACAATTGGTTACATTTAATAATGAAACATACTGTAAGAAGAAAAGATCAACATAAATCAGCTAATAAGTGTCAAACATTTTTGTACTGCTTGAGCCTTATTGACACAAAGTTCAGGGTTTAAACAGATAACCACATCAGCTCTGCTGGCTGATTCACTTCTACTTAAATCATGGGAAAAGGCTATTTAATGCTCTTTTCTCTAACGTGACTATTAACAAGGGCTGGAATTCTCTGAAGCAGCCCTTCTACCTTATGAACTATCACCTGACACTCTCAAGATATTTAAGACTATAATAGCCATTGCCTTCAAAAGGCATGATCATTCTGTTTTATTGCTTAGGTTTGATCATAGGAATATTCGTCATTTGGTTAGTTCTGCCAAATCACTCTTATTGTTAGCAATAAAACTCCCTGTGTTAATATAACTGCCGAGGTAATCTTTGTAGGGACTATTTACAGAATGGTAAATAAGTACTGTACACAATGTGTTCTAGTGATGTATTTTAGAAATGTTTTCCTTTGTTTGATGTTATTTAAAGTCACTTCAATGACACAATATTTGTTCTATTTTTATTACAGTGAATATATAGTTAGGATGATGTAGTAACTCAAAATAGATTCATCAGATCAGCTAGTAGCTAAAACTGATTAATGATATTGGTGAAAATACTGAAACTGAGAACTTCCCTGGACTCAGGAAATAAGAAAAAAAAAACAATCTACTTAGACCTCATTTTCATCAATACCATTCACTATAGCCTTTAATACTTTTTTCACATCTCTACAACAAATATAGTTGTATTTTATTTCTTGAATTTGCTGCTTTTCTTTTTCTGAGGATCTAAAGTTCACCCAACAACATCTTTTTCGGCCATCTCTTTCCTCTCACTCTTCCTTCATATTTGATCCTTATTCATATATATTCAAAACACCTAAATGATGATTCACTTTGCATGCAATCCACACAGAACACTCATTTCACTTATTTATGTTTTAGTACCCACATTTCTTAAGTCTTTCATACCCATTGCATTCAGTCTGTATCTACCCTTTTCCTGTTTCCAACTACAGTTTTATTACTATATAGCAAAGCGGGAAAGGATCAGTCCTGTACATTCATGTCTTATAGCAGACATTATCCCATCCATATATTCCAGCATCCGCACACTTTAAATGTATGCATCCTTTTTAGCATTTTAGCATGGGACAGAAAATCAAATCTTTGCTTGCTTATTGGGAGAGGAGATGGGTTTTCATTTATGTCTAAATTGTAATGGTTGGATACAACAACAAAGCATTTGCAGCAAAGCACTTGAGTTCTAAGTCACATGAGAGGACTACACAAACTCACATCTAATAACCAGTAATGTAAAAAAAAAAGTTGTAAAACATGTAAGGAAACATCACATATCTTTGTGTCTTACTCCTTGCTCCATGTTCAACTAATACACACACACACACACAGACAGACACNGTAGCCAGATGGCATTGGCTGGTAGACGGGACCCAGAGGAGCCCGACCCTGTGCGATCTAATGGGTCTTTGGGAGGTAATTGGCAGCAGGTGGTCTCTCAAGTAGGTCTCTCAATTGAGGCCATTTGGAGGTTTATCTGTGTCCTCAGGGTCATCTGAGTAGTGCAAATTGGGGGTGGAGCCTTCTTCAAACTGTTGAAAGGACTGTGTTGTAGACTGGATAGGTGTCATATCTCCCCCCCTTTAGAGAGGGTTGTTCAATTTTGACATAGATGATATCTTTGACCCCTCTTTCAAACCAGTAATCCTTTCTGTGCAAAATGTGAACTTTGCTGACTTTAGAACAGTGGCCTTTCTCTTTTAAATTCAGATGGACTGCTGAATCTTTTCTTGATTAGTTTGTTTTTCTATGTTGTGCTATGCATTTGTGAAGTGGATGTTTTGTTTCACTAATGTATAGATCTGCACACGTCCCACATCATTGTACCACATATCCCATGTTGCTTTGTGTGTGGGTGTTTTATCCTTGGAGTAGACAACCTTCTGTCTTAGTGTATTCTTGGATTTAAATTGTACACATATGGTGTATTGGCTGAAGATCCTCCTGAGCTTTTCAGAGATTCCTGCAACATATAAAATGACAGCATTGCTTTGTTTATTGTTTTCTTCCTTGTCTATTATGGAGGAACTCCTACTGGGTCATTTTTGGAATTTTATGAAGATCCACTTGGGATATCCATACATTCTTTGGGCTTCCTTGATGTGTTTTAGTTCTTTTCCTTCCCCATCTTTGCTTGTAGACAGGCCTTCAGTTCGGTGGTGTAGGTTTCTGATAATTCCCATTTTGTGCTCCAGTGGGTGGTGAGAATCAAAATGCAAATATTGATCTCTGTGTTTGGGTTTTCTGTAAACTTCAATGTTACAGCTTCTGTCTTCCTTAATGTGTATTGCAGAGTCCAGGAAGACTAGACTATTTTCCTTAACATCTTTCTATGTGAATTTGATGTATCTGTCCACAGAGTTGATATGTTTGGTGAAACATATCAACTGTTATGCCTCCAATTCCTGTGTTTTGATCTTGACCCAAGTATTATCCACATACCTATACCAATGAGTGGGTGGAATTCCTCTGAAGGTGTTTAAGGCTTTGGTTTCTACCTCTTCTATGTAGAGATTGGCCACAATGAGGTCACAACCATGTTTTTGTCTGTAGAAATCTTCATTGTATTTAAAATAGGTAATGGTCAGGCAGAGATCCAGCATGGCACATATGTGGCTTAGGTTCGTCTTGTCACTTACGGTGCTGTAGTAGTTGTTTCTTCACTACAATGACAGCTTTAGTTGTTGGGATGCATGTGAAGAAGAAAGTCACTTTATAGGAAACTATTGTCTCATCCAGGCCCATTTTAGTTTCCAAACCTTGCTGGTGAAATACTGTAAATTTTTGGTGTGATAGATGGTGTTGCCAACTAGAGGAGCTAATAAGGTGGTTAGATGTTTTGCAATGTTGTAAATGACAGAGTTGATGCTGCTGACAATTGACAGTGGTGACCAAAAAAAGCAGCTCTAGGATAACCATGACCTGGATGACTGAGAATCTCCATAGACTTTCAAAGCAGTTGAGTACCAATGTACCTTTGTACTGCTAGCTAAAGTCAATCCAAAGGATTAATATCAACCATTTCTAGGTAGTGTTCATTGTTATTGTTTATAAATCTCTGCCCTATTGTGGATGACAATAAAATGATTAACTACATAGCGCCAGTAAATATTGCTTAGTATATAACAACATCTTAAATATCTTAAGACCTTAGTATATCAGACACTGAACTGGATAACTTGTAAAACCTAAAACTATATTTGGCATACACAACTTCTTTGACTTAGCTTCTTAAGACTACCTGACTAAAATCTTAGTTCTTTTTGCTCAGAATAACAATTCTTTTTTTAAAACATTTCTCTTTATTAAAAATAATAAATTCTTGTTCTTTGAAATATAGCCTATATCCTTTGATTACTGACTATCTAGTTTTATGTTTAAGGATTTATAACAGTTTTATTCTCTAATCTGAGCTTAATATCACATTATGGCATACAGGTTTCACAAACATTTTGTTGATATACAAATGAGCCCATCATAGGGGAAAATTATTAATTTCTTCACTTACTATGTAATATGCTCTTGTCATTAGTTCTATAAAACAATAATAAACTGGAAAGTTCATTCTTAAAAGGATTTCTCCTTGCTAATAAAAAATTAAAAGTTCGTATTAAAAAATGAGGTAATCAAAGGAAATTGAACAGAAATCAAAATTCAGCATTTAAAAAAGATACAGAGGACCACTGGTTTGAAAGAGGGATCAAAGAGGCCATTAACATCAAAACTGAACGTCCCTCTCTCAACTGAGGGAAGGGATACAACATCACCTATCTCCAGTCTGTAACACAGTCCTTTCAACAGTTCCAACTCAGGTGACCCTGATGACACAGATAAACTTCCAGGTGGCCTGAATGACTTGGTAATTAAAAAATGCAAATGACCAGCTGTCTGCAAGGAGTAACCATTCCCCACCATCCTGAACTAAAAGGTGAAACTAATACAAAAATATCAATTTGCCCACAATAACATTTTGTTCTGTAAAATTTGTTCACTGTGTGATCCATAGCTTTATTTCTAAAACTGCTTCACCATTATTGAAAGCAAAATGTTTATTTAGCATTCAGATGGTTAGAAACAAAGTATTTCTTGTATGCATTGAACTGATTTAATATTACTATTAATCTCTTTTTGACAATGGAATTTTGCTCAAGCACTCTGAACTTTGCAATTAGATCACTTGACTAAACACCCTCTTTTGAGAGTGAAGGTGGGGAGGAGATAATTTTTAGTATTTAAATAAATTGATTATTTGTAAATGATAAGTGTCTGATTGTGTCAATGAAGCTAAGTTAAACTTGGGTATCAAAACATATTCAAACACAGGATAAATTTAAAGTAAATTCTCAAGCACTCAGCTACAGGAACCCTGGGAGCAAGTGANTTTTGAGTTGTGAGCCGCCCTGAGTCCCTTCAGGGAAAAGGGCGGCATACAAATAAAATTAAACCTAAACCTCTTCATTGTACACATAAAACATTTCTGCCAGAACTGGTGGTGAAGCAAATGTATATTTATCATGGAATACTTGGAATGCAAGTTCTGACCTATTGCCCTTCTGTAAGCCCATATATATGTATATTGTACTGGCTATTAGCCACCAAGGGTTACTTCTTTATGATTTACAACCATATAAAATATCAAAATAAATAAAGGTCTTCTCTCCACTTGTTGCTTTGGTTAGCATGCTAACACAGGTATATTTACACTGTAATTTATGCTTTTTTACAGGTGATATAGTAATACCAAAGTACGTAAAAATAATTAATAATGCATTAATATATTGTGTTTGAATTATTCAATCTATTTACCCAGAGTCACTTGATAGAGAGATTTCGTTGTGATAGGTCAGAGCTATGATTATGGTTTAGATTTTACACTTCATATTTTATATTTTTATCTCTTGTGCTTCTTAATAGGAATATGATGCTAATGTACCATACGATAAATAATAAATAGAGCTATTCCAGTTTTGATAAGTTTGTAAAAACTAAGAAGGCCAGTGGCAGTAAGAAACTTTTAATGTTTCTGCAGTCCATAATATGTCCACTTTCTGCAATAAATTAAGAACGTAATACAAGCAGGACAAAATTGGTGAATTAACCCAAAACTTAAATAATGTGATTTCAATACACTGATTTGGCTTTAACTTGACACTTTAAAATATGAGCAGCTTAAAAAATCCTTCATAGATCAAATAGGAAGACATTTTTCCCCTGCGCCTTGGGTTATAGGACATGTGATAATGATAAGGAAGTGTTACCTGAACAGCAGATGCTATGATTGTCAGATTTTGGGGAAATTGAAATAGAATATAATTGCAAACTGCTGAAATAAGCCTTTCAAATGAACAACTTTGCTATTATTGATGTTTTTTTTAGATTAAAAACACTGTATGTTTCAAGGTAGAATGCTAAATTTAGCAACACAATCTGACTGGGCGGGAGGATTGGTGGCTATATTCACCCTGCACAATGTTGCCCACTCCCATTTTTAAAAAAATGCTAAAATAGAAAATAAATAAAATGAAGTTTTAAGTTCGCTTACTTTACATATAAATCCAGGTGCCTGGGAAAATCTATTTTACCAGCTAGAATCTTCTGATATATTCCAAATGGATTGTCATCAAAAAATGGGGGAAATCTGTTTTTAAAAAAAGTAACAATGTCAGACAGTTGTTTCTGAATGTATGAAAAATGAGCTAGGAGCATACCTACCACAATACAATAAACTATAATAAAATCTCATTAGGTGCAAAATTTCTTTTACAATGACTATGGAAAATAGTTATTCTGATTTCAATGACTTCAAACATTACTTATGCCTACCCTTGTACAGAAAACAAAAATACCTGAAATATATTAGCATATTTTTGGAAACTAGCTTTATAACTTCTTACCTATTGTAACTCTAGGTGATATTTCTAGTTACATCGGTATCTGATGTCACAAGGTCTAGAAGTTGATTTGGCAAAATTGTTTTGATACTTATATCACCCAAGCAATATGAATAGATATGAATAGTATAATATATACAAACACAAGAGCATTAGTTAAAATTTTATTTAGGATTTTTTTAAAATAAAATTATTTGGTTCCATTGTTTTCTGCACAAGAGTTTTATATAAACGCTCATTTAGGAAGCATTTAAGTAATACAAGACACATCTCAGTCAGTTTTGTTTTTGCCATCTTAAAGGAAGCTTTAAAGGAAAGTTAAGACTAAAACCACAGGATCTTAGTTTAATTTAATATTCCAAGTTTTCATTTTATTTATGGTTTACAAATGTAATTACTTAAAAGTTTCTGTATTTTTGTTATTCAGTAGCTATTATAATTAATAATTACTGAATATATTTCTGTATGAAATGAAGTAAATTCCTGAATTTAATAGCCTTTTAGTCACTTACTTGTAAGAAAATATCTCTCTTGATATTAAATTAAGTATAGGACAAAGTTCTATATTTAAAATGCCTAACTAGTTGCCTGTAAGACATATTATTGAAGGGTAAAATCATGAATAAAGCAGTGAATATTCACAAAAATTGATAAATACTGCCATTGAAATTTATTGCAAATAATTTTGCTATTCTACAATGACATAATAAAAATTCTTTATGCATATTATTTGATCATTAATTACATCTCATTTAAGCAATTGATTAAATAGCATTTTCATTGCTGCTTCTCAGAAAAGAAAAGCAGTGGGTAGGGAGCTACATTGTATATAATTATGGCACATTCTCTTTCTCCTGTTTTACATTTACAATACTTTCCCACAACAAAATGTATACAATACGCTTATCCCATTGTATTGCAATGATCTATGAAATGTTTAACTGTAGTTTATTGGATAATGTAAATTACCTAGGATCACTTGTGAGGCCAAAATAAAAGCTATATTATATGGAGATGGGAGTAATGAATTAAATTAGGAAAATGGCACCACTGGCTTTTAGAGTGACATGTAAAGAGGCAGGATATAGCCACCCAGAGGTGGGTTCCTACCGGTTCGGCCAAGTAGGTAGTAACTCTGCCGAACATGTCCCTGAATTGGTTCTATGGGCGGCGCTATAGTCCCATCTTCTTTTCTGCTTCTGCGCATGTACTGAAGCATTTTTTCACTATTTTGCATGTGTGCGCAGTGAGCATCAAGTGTGCGCGTGAAGAGTGGCCCTGAGCAAACCAGCAGTAGAAGAAGCCAGAACCCACCCCTGTAGCCACCTATCCTGAGAGAGGAAGAATACACCAAATTAGCTAATCACAGCAGCCAAATTAACCCTGGCAATCAATGAATGACAGATGTTGCAGCAGGACTGCCTTCAGTTCTTGTGCCATGCTACAATGTTCAATGGCCATATGGAAAGCTGTGGATTATATACATGACATGTAAATATATATGCAAAGTTATCAAGCTACTGACTACCATAAATTAAAATGCATGTTTATAGCACAGAGTTTTAAACAGAACTATATGCTTGAAGAACTGTGAAATATGTACAATTTTTTTTAGTTATTCATTTTAAAATGTATATGCTTCTGTGAAATCTAATTAGATTTGAAAGGGCTTAGAAATAATACTTTGAAACAAACAAAAGCATTTTAAAATCATATATAAGGAGATGCTGCAAAACACTGTAATTTCAAGGTTTTTTTTAAAGTTCCTACAATAATGCCTTGATTTATTTGCTTGTTGCTTTGTGATAGAATTGACTCAATTGTAAAAGATACTTTCTTCTACAAGAATAATTT